TGCTGTTTGTTTGCCTTTGAACTTGACACGTAAATAGCCTCCACTGTGCAATAAACTCCGTCCTAAAGCGCGGTTTATGTTTGTTCAGTATGGAGTAATGCGTTTGAGGTCACCTTCTGACCAACTGATCTGTGTATATGGCCATGACGTCAATCTTTAATAGTCAATTAAAAGTATTTATTTTAATGTTTAAAGATTATTTATTTTTCCTAGTTCCCGTTAAGGCACGATTTATTGCCTAACCCAAATCTCTTTTAATCACTTTAAATAAATGAGATGAAAAAAATGAAGTGCTGACAAATATCTTTATTACCACATATTAGATATTTCTATTTTAAAAAAAAAAGCACTATGTGCAGGTTGCAAAATAAACTACAATACATGTGAAATATAAATAAATTCCAGTCAGTAGCGGGCATAATTATTTCTGTCCATCAAGTTTCTTCTACTTAACGAGTTCAGGGTTGTAGGGGGATGAGGCTATCACAAGGCAGAGGCTGGGTACATCCTGGACAGGCTGCCAGTCTGACACAGAGTCTTACATTTATATATACAGACAATTTAGAATCATAAAGCCCAACCCACGCGTTTTTGGACTGTGGGAGGAAACCAGAGTACTTGGTGAGAACCTACGCAGCCACAGTCAAACTTCATACAGAGAAGGGCCCACTATGCTAGGGGAAAGGGGGGGAGGGGGGATTTTTTTTAAAAAACAAAGGGTGGTAAGTGAAGCAAGCCATAAGGAAAACACAATACAACCAGCAGAACAAGTAAACAACACGAGCAAAGCAACTGAAACTATACATGGAAAAAAAACAGAAAGCAGAAGTTAACACAACTGGAACCAGTTCCTCCTTTGAATGTGATAAAAACAAGAAAATTGACTACTTTGAAGATTCTTTATTTTGACAGATGTTTTAAAAATCTAAGATGCGTTGCCACAAGAGCCAGAAATGTGAAAAGTGTTAGATATACACCAGCATACAAAGCTGAATTTTTGGTGAAAGTTTTACTTGCACTTTGTGATAACGACAGTCAGTTAAAAGCCAACTGCTCTAAAAAAAAGCAGATAAAATCTTGCATTTAAGAGGTCAGAATGTTACCCTACTTACTACCCTAGTTCTTGAATTGTACTGTAGTCACAGGTGTTTTAAACTTTCTCTTATAGCTCATTTCTGTTCTGCATTTGCACCCATTCCCTCTTCAGCAACATTGCGCTGCCACCAGTTGCTGGTTTCAGTGGGATGTTGCACTGCTATAGCAACCACTATTGACACAGTTTGAGAATCTATGGAATGGATCAGTATGATTACAGGGAGGAAAAATCTTTTTTTTTTAAATAATATTTTAAAATAATGTCAACAAACTTTTCTACCCTTTTTAAATCAAATTTAGTCTATATACCTACAGTGGTGTCAAAAGTGTTTCCCCCCTTCCTGATTTAATATTTTTTGTCATGTTTCAGATCTTGAAACATTTAAATATTAGACAAAGATAACATGAGTAAACACAAAATGCAGTTTCTAAAAGAAGGTGTTTATTATTAGGGAGCGAAATCAAATCTACATGGGCCTGTGTGAAAAAGTTATTGTCCCCTAAACCTAGTAACTGGTTGGGCCACCCTTAGTAGCAACAACTGCATCAAGTGTTTGCAGTAATTGGCAATGAGACTTTTACAGTGCTATAGAGGGATTTTGGCCCACTAATCTTTGCGAAATTGTTGTAATTCAACCATACTGGAGCAGGAACTGCCTTTTTAAGGTCGTGCCACAGCATCTCAATCAGATTCAAGTCAGGACTTTGCCTAGGCCACTCCAAAGCCATATAGAGGTGGACTTGCTGGTGCGTTTTGGATAATTGTCCTGCTTCAGAACCCAAGTGCGCTTAGGCTTGAGGTCACAAAAAGATGGCTGGACATTCTGCTTCAGGATGATTTAGTAGATGGCAGAATTCTTGGTTTCATTTATCACAGCAAATCTTCCAGACCCTGAGGCAGCAAAAAGGCCTAAAACCATATTTTACTGTTGCTATGATATTCCTTTTCATAAATGCGGTGTTGCTTTTAGACAGATGTAATGGGACACAGACCTTCCTAAATCTTTAACTTTTGCCTCATCAGTCCACAGAGTATTTTCCCAAAAGTCTTGGGGATCATCGAGATATTTTCTGGCAAAAGTTCCTTTTGCTCTGCAGAGGTATCTTCTTGGAACTTTGCCATGCAGGCCATTTTTGCCCAGTCTCTTTCTTATGGTGGAGTCATGAACTCTGACCATAACTGAGGTAAGCGAGGCCTGATGTTCTCTGGATGTTGTTCTGTGGTCTTTTGTCAACTCTTGGACGAGTCATCACTCAATCCAACAGATGCGCTCTTGGGGTAAATTTGGTTGGCCACCCACTCCCACTAATGGCGATCCTATTTAAGTGATTTTCTGATTGAGAACAGGTGTGGCAATAATCAGGCCTGGGTTTGGCAGGAGAAATTGAACTCCGCTTTTCAAAGTTATGATACACCACACTTATTCCCCTGAATAATAAAAACCTTGATTTAGGAACTTCATTTTGTCTCTATTTGTGTTTAAATTTGATGATCTGAAATATTTAAGTGTGACAAACATGCTTCTAGAAAACTTTGTGAACCAGGTCATTAGATTAGTTTTAGAGTAAATATTATTCATGGTATTTGATCGGTTTTCATTGTAATGATTTCCACTTTACAAATGTTTAGTTCATTAAATAAACCCATGCTGAGCCACTTTTTGAAAATAATCACTTAAAAATCTTCAGAAGCTGTTTACTATATCACGTATGAGAAGCACATGTGCTTCTCATACGTGTCTCATATATACGAGTTGCATTTTGCTTCTGTTATATTTTCTATTTACGCTTTCATGTCTCTGATGTGTTTTTTTTCCCCCCATCAGAGGAGTGTCAACAACATTGTCCTTGGTGTCCAACAGTATCAAACAGCTCTTCTGACGTCCTTGAGGGGAAAAATAAAGACCATCCTTGAAAGGCAACCTGACAGCAATGGACCTTTACAACAAGAAGTTCTTTCAACACTGGACAACTTTCAGGATCCCTTTCCCATATGTGCAGCTTCAAACCTACAGGACCGTGTAACACAGATGCATTTCAACCCTGTCACACCTGAGGAGATCATCATTTCCAAGTATGCCTGTAGAGTTAAAAAAGGAGAATCGAGAGTTCTTGCAATCAAAAACAAGTCTTTCTACTACATTCCTTTGATTGAAAGTTTGAAACAGCTATTATCAAATTCAAGACTATTTGACATGCTCAGTGCTGGACCTCAGAGTTGCCCCAACGCCAGTTTTTTGTATGACATTAATGATGGAATTATTTTCAAAACCCACCCACTGTTTTCAAAGAAGAACTCTGCTTTACAACTGATACTCTATTCTGATGAGATAGAAATGTGTAACCCCCTCGGGTCACGTGCGAGTGTAAATAAACTACTAATGTTTTATTACACCTTAGGCAACATAGACCCTAAGTTTAGATCAAAGTTGGCTTCCATCAGACTTCTCGCAATCGCAAAGTATAGGGACATAGATGAGTGTGGGGTAGATATAATACTACGGAGAATCAATGAGGACTTGAAGTTACTGTACGATGGTGTTATGATTAACACTGTCAATGGGGAATTTTATTTAAACGGAGCAGTTGTTGCTGTGTGTGGAGACACTCTGGCCCAGCATGAGCTTGCAGGATTTAAGGAAGGAGTTGGTTTTGCGTATAGCAAATGTCGTCATTGTGAGTGTACGTTTGATGAAATGCAAGAAAATTTCAATGAACATAGTTTCACCAGACGGACATTGGACGGACACATTAGGCAGTGCATTGAAATAGGAAGGGCAACTACTGAATTTTTGAAATCCTCGCTCAAAACGACTTTTGGCATAAATAGACAAAGCAAATTAGTTGATTTCCCAGCTTTTAATCTCATAGAGCAGATGCCACAGGATATTATGCATGTAATTCTTGAAGGAGTGGCACCAATGGAAATTAAGTGTGTGTTGAAATACCTTGTTTTATCTGGAAATTTGGATTTGGACTTGTTTAATTCTGCCATGCAGAACTTTCCTTTTTCATCAGTGGACATACGTGACAAGCCTTCACCAATTAGTATTGCTACTTTAGCTTCAAGTGACAACAGACTCAAACAATCCTCTGGACAAATGCTTATATTGATCAAGATTTTGCCATTCTTATTGTACAGTGTTGTAGAGAAAAATCCCTTTATCCAGTTTATTTTGGATTTAATTGAAATTGTTAAAATACTTTTTGCCCCAGTTGTGTCTTTACAAACTGTGTCCAAACTAAAAAAAATGATAGAAGATCATCTTAAACAATTCAGGCAACTATTCCCAGAAAAAAATGTAATACCAAAGCAACATTACATGCTGCATCTTCCCTCTCAAATTATTGCCCTGGGACCTGTAATACGTCATATGTGCATGAGATTCGAGTCTAAACACAGTTTTTTTAAACAATGGTCATCCAAATTAAACTTTAAGAATGTGTGCAAGTCTCTTGTAAACCACAATCAGCTGCTGGAGTGTTGCCAAAGTGAAGCAGGAACTGAGCATCCGATATTTGTAAATGAGAAAGAACTAGGTCCTGTATCAGAGGTTGCTAATATGGACCATTTGCAATCAAAGGTTGTAGATTTTTTGGGGATTGAAGATGCTATACATCATGCCGTTAGAGTAAAGTGGCTTATTTTACATGGAAACAAATACATCTGTGACAGGTCTCTTATACTCATTTCAGCAAATGGTTTAAACCCTATCTTTGGACTTGTAAAAAACATTTTTATTGTTAATAGTGTACTTTATTGTTTTGAATACCAGGTGTATGAAACCTTGGGTTTCAACAAAGACTTTCTTGCCTATGAAATTGCAATTCCCAACCTTGCCCAAGCAACTGAACTGACTGATGTTGAAGACCTACTTGATTTTACGTCATATTACCCAGTCAATTTCAGAAACAGTGTCTATAATTTTTGTTTTACACTCTATCTAAAAGCTATTTTTGCTTGAAATAAATGTAAAATGGTTCATTTTTAGATATACAGACTAAATAAGAAAAAAAAGTAATATATACTTGAAACAAGTTTAATCATCTAACACATGAGACTGGAAACTAGCTTGTAATGTTCAAAACAAGATGGACAAAATAATCTGGCTAAAATTAAGACAATAAATCTTGTCAAGCTACAAGGAATTTGCAGTGCAGAGAGACTACCATAGTGTCCCATGAAATGCAGGGCTTTTTTTCTTTCAGATTATTTGAGTGTCTTAGAATTTAATTTTAATAAACAAAATGAGCATTTTTTTAAAAAAAAACTTTTTTTCACTTCTTAATCGTTCATGAACATCTCTCTGTCTTCTGCACAGTCCCCACTCTTGGGAGAGGAAATGAAGGAATAATGTTTTTCCTTTTCCTCTAAAGTCCCCTTACAAAGGGTCTTCCCCTTACACTGGTGGTGCAGCTGCAACTCCCAGGAGTGAATGTGTATGACTCCATAAACACGTAGCAGAGTTCATGTTGGGAAAGTCCATCCCAGTATTGTAAACGGTTGCACACTAAAAGGAAAAGCACTGAGGAACGGCCATTCAGTTGTATGGTGTCTCCGGTGCAGTGGATCCTGGACAAAGTTGCTTGGCCGGCACTGAGCAGCACTCAGAGCTCAGGGAGGATGATAGGAAGTGTACACGGCAAGCCAAGTCATCCAGGAAATCCTTTTGTAACTTTGCTATTGCTTGAGAAAGCACAACGGGCAGCGACTGCACACATTGAAGGATGGAGTCCAGTTTCTCTTCCAGAGCCACAATCCTACTGTCCAGCTCACCACTTCGATGCTGCAGCTCTGATACCAGATCGTACATCATGTTCTGAGTCTGAAATCATCGCCAACATGCTGAGGTCACTTTCAAGTATCAGGAGATAAGCAAGTCAGGGTTTCTCACTGTTTAGATTATTATAAAAGTCATAAAATGCAGAAAAGATAATGAAAAAGAGGCAAAATGTGGTTCATACTGGATAAAAATTACAATTCCTCGTGTCAAATTACTCTCAGCATCAGTCAGAGGGTAAAATTTCCTATTATATATTAGTAAAACTGTGGCAAATAAAAACATTTTTATTAGAAAATAACAAAAATACTGCACAAACCTTTGCAAGATCAGCAACTGTATTGGCCTGGTCAGTTAATTTCCTTTGCTCCATTTTCACTCGTCGCAGTCTAAAGTTGTAAACCAAAATCATATTCACATTTGTGCTACAATAATATAAATGCAATGTGCAGTAAATCCTAATTCACATAATCCAGAGCCACAAATTAAACTGTAACAGCATTTACTGAAACCCCTGATGGTGGCATAGCGATACCTACTGGTGGATGGCTTGCAAGAATTTACGCTGATGGTGGCGTACTCTGGCATGGTCAATCTTCTTGACCAGCTTTGTGTTTTTGTAAATGAGCCATGTCTCTCTCAACACATTTGCTGCTGTGTTCTTAATCTGTGGAAGTATGTCAATGGAAAGGCAAAACAGAAATGTAGAGACATAAATGAAGCTTAAGTCAAACAGAAACTAAAATGAGCCTGAGTACTATAGGAAAGTCTTGAGCAATCCCTCATTTCTTTATGTTTTTCTGTGAAAACCTGCACGGAAATGCAGTGTTTAAAGAATAAACAGAGTTTGTACATTTCTAATGACCTGAAAAGTCAACATTTAGTATGACAATGCTAATTCTACAACAGAGATTAAACTGGCTTTAGGCAAACTTTCTCACATCTTCTTTGAGAATCTTTTAGAAATATTTCTCCAGGCCTCTTGACAGACTTTTAAACCTCTCCTTTAGATGTTGGCTGCTTTTTGTTATCAAGATGATCCCACACTGTTTCAATAATGTTGAGGTCCAGGCTCTGAGGAGGCCAAAGTATGATATTGTTCCACTTCTATTGTTCACTTTTTTTAGAGCATTTGTATTGTGTTTGGGATCATTGTCATGCTGAAAAATGAATCACATGCTTTCCAGATAGTATCAAAATCAGATGGTACTTTTCTGCCTTTCATAATTCAATCAGTTTTAACAAGACTGCTGGCTGAATTGCAGCCACAAGCCATGACAGAGCCTCAACCATGCTTAACAGATGGCTGTGGACACTCACTGTTGTACCTCTCTACTGACCTCTGCTGAATATATTGATGACACTTTAAATCAAAAATTTCAAATTTGGGTTAATCACTCCATAAAATCTGTTTCCACTGATTTTTAGTCCAGTTCTTGTTAAATTTGTTACACTTCAGTCTTTTCTCCTCATTTCTCTTCCTCAAGAAAGACTTCTACGCGTGGCTGCAATTAGCCCCCTTTCTACTGAGCTCATTTCTGATGAGGCTTCACTTAAAAGTAGATGATTAGATGACAGGCTAGATGAATATCACCTGAGCTCTTTCCTAGATTTTTGCCCTATTTCTTAAAGACATTGTTTTGAGATACATTTCATCTGTTAGTTTTGTTTTTTAGGCCTACCACTTGTTCTTTTGTTATCCCAAAAACTTAAGTTCACACTTCATACCATGCTAAGACATGACAAATTTTCAGTAATCGCCTTGTTGGGATTGTTGGAAATCACCTCGTTGGAGCAACTTTAAAAAAAATCAAATTGGAGGAAATTGAGGGTGGCTCAAGACTTTTGCGCAGTAGTGTATATGGTTAAAAAAGAGAAAGTGCTGTTACTTTTAAGACTGATCATGTAGTCTTAATATTAAAAATAAAGTCCAATCACTGCATGTGTAAGAACACACCTTTTTGTAGATTTGGGTATCCATCATGAAGTTGTGGACATGTTTCTCAGCTCTGGTGAGTTCTGATTTTCTTGCGACAACGGCCACGACTAAGGCTGTACAACCTGCTCCCTGATGAGAAGAAGAGAAGTGTTAGCATGACTGTGTTATTAGTTAGTAGTTAGCTAGTATAAAAACCACACCAATCATTCACGTAGGCCAGGATTTTAAAGGATTTTTAAACAGATATTTAATTGGGGTTATTCAGAAAAAAATCACTGTCAGTGATTTGCATATCTGCCTCTTCTCTACATGTGCACTGTGTTGGTATAAAACTCACCATAATTCCAGTTAACAGACAAACCCCTTTTCCACAGTAGGTGTGAGGGACCATGTCCCCATAGCCGATGGACAGGAAGGTAATGGAGATGAGCCACATTGCTCCAAGGAAAGTGCTGGTTACTTCCTGTGCATCGTGATACCTATTTAAACATGACACCTGTCTGTAAAAGCAGTTTATGTTAAAGCTGGAGAGACTACCCTTGATTTAAGTTTCTTTCATTTTTATCCAGCATTTGTTTAACGCTGAAAATCTTCTTGATGATTTTTAAGTAACACATTTTAAAAAAAACCAAAACCTTTAAGATACCTTTCACAAACACGCACTGTCCACGCAGCAATGATCCAACAGGACACACTGAAGACTAGCAGCACTGTGCCAGGACAGATGGTCATTAGGGTCTTCATGACAAAACGAGTGTCAAAGTTGATCTTATTGAGCGCACCGATGCTGCGAGAGGAAGCGTCTGTGAACAGCTTGCTGTGCAGCAGCATGACCCGGCCAATCAGGTAGAGGCGAAGGAACATCGGCACAGAGAGGATGATGTCTACGTCGGCGTACGCCACCGATGCTGCATAGCTGAAGGCCAGTCGAGTCGTCCAGGTGAACACGTATTTCCCTGGGATTGGATGAATGGCACAGATGAGGAGCTCCAACACGATGAAGACAAGTCGCTCAAAAGTCATTGCTATCCTCCAATCGTCAGCCCCGTTGTCCACCATGAAGAGCTGTTGAAGAAAAGTAGCAACATTTCTAGACCGTGAATATGAAAGAATAATGAGTGAAGAACTCGTTTTGTTGGGATTACAGTTTTTTGTTTTGTTTTCTTAATTTGGATAATTCTGACGAGATGAAAATGAATGTTTTATCTTCTGGTGTTTCTCAAAGAGACAATTTTAAATATATTTTTGGGGGTATTTTAACTTTTGTCGTTATAGGATAGTGGAGAGAAGAGCTTGGATAAAGACACGTAGTAAATGGCCTCTGGGGAGATTTCAGGTATGTGGGTTGTCTGCTCAACCCCTTGAGCTAAACCAATGCTCCAATTCAGGGGGTTTTAAGACTAGTTTCCTTACTTCACGTGAATTATCTGATCCAAATGATTACACAGCTCATGTTGGCAAAGTCATGGTTTGTTTCTTCATACCTGGATTTCCCTTGCATGGTACATCACAATGAGTCCCAGCAGAATAGCAGTAGAAAGGCTGATCAGGCCTTTTAGAACATATGAATACATGGATTCCTGTAAATGGTAGAGACAATGACACAAAACTATTAAACTAATAAAAAGAAGACCATCTGTGAGTAAAACTGTTTAGGGGGCCCTCAAAGTTAAAACTTTTAATGGCACTATGTTGACGCCGCTTTCATTTGTTTGTTGAAACACATTTATTTGGAGACACTGGTGTTTCTGCTCTGAGTGTACCTTGGTGTAAAATCCCCTTGACAGCTCCGTCTCGATGACCATGACAATAATGCCAAACATCCCACAGACCAAGGCGTAGTCGCTCAGTTGTTTGCGCTTCCCAAACAGAGCTCTCCTCTGACCCAGCCTGTAGCTGATGTCCTTGGTCTTCTTCGGTGGTGTGCTACCTTCCTCACCGTTGGTCTTACTGGAGTCTTCTCGGATGACTTTGGAAAAGGCGTCCTCCAGGATGGCACTGTGAAGAAGCTGGATTGGCTGCTGGCCTGAAGGAAGATCTGAAAAACTAGATCTCAAAGTGCCGTGGCTGCTCAGGGGTCGGACTGCATCCCCGTTAAGTATGCCACTGCTTTGTAAGGCTTCGGGAGGTGGAGGAGTGTGTTTAGGAAGGGAGACTTTAGACCCCTGAGAGACTGTCTGCAAAATAAAATAAGACTGTCAACAACAAGCATGTAATATATCTGAAAGCATGTTACAGTGTATGGTTCAGTTAGAATTGGCATGGTATGGAAACACACAGGTTACCTAAACCTACTTTTGATGGTTCCAATTTAAGTATGAAAACTAAACGTTTAAAGCAGCCGAATCAAAACATGCACCTGACTTTGTCGCTGTCTTGTTTTCTCATCCATTAAATCTTGAATCTCTAGGGAACTATACTGACTGATGGAGAAAGATGTGACACTTTTGTTGCTGACTGGTGTAGACGATCTTTTTATTTGGCTTGTCAGGGAGTCGTGAGGGAGGTGGTGGCACTTGAAGATGGTGGACGGATCTCCAGATGTTTGATCGCCTGCGATCAGGCAGTGGAACTCTTGCTTTCGCTGTTGCTGAACTAACAGCGGCTCTTTACCGAAAAGGTCTCTCCAGTTGACATCTGCACCAGCAGCAGGATGAGGCTGCTTTTGGAGTTTTTGTTTACACTCGACTGAGTCTAGAGGAATGTTGAACAAATTTGTTGCTTGGCTGCTGTCTTTCAGTTTATAATGATTGCAGGGCTGTTCTTTTCCACCTTCTTGGTTGGTGCACTGAGGCATGAAATGATCTTTGAGACGGTTTGTTGCAGGATTCAAAAGCTCACTTTGGTTTGTTTGCTGTGGTAAAACCTGGCAAGTAGTTGAAATGTGGCTGCTGGGAGAGAAAGGCTGAACATGTGGTGAACATAAAAGGCTTCTCTTAGCTGTTACCCTGGGAAGGCAGTCTTGGACCCTGTCCTGTTTTGACTGTGGCTGAAAACTAGAGGCATCAGGACCGGGACATCTACATCTGTCATTGTGGTTTGGATGTCCCACACTGGTGCCTGCTCTTTCTGCTGAGGGCGACTCATCTCCTGCGTTGCCAACATGGCCACAAAGGAGCAGCCAGTCCTCATCGCTTAGCTGCGATAAGGTTAGGTTTCGAGTTTTGAGTGGCGACATCTGGGCTGAACCTCTTGGAGGGCCGAGTCCATTGCATGTTTCATGGGGTGAAGATGAGACACAGCACTGACTTTTCTCCTGTGGGGTCAAAGGTGTCTCAACCGAGGTTCCTCTGTATGGATCATGCTTCCCCTCAGGGGTCTTTATGGGAGGGGATGGGCATCCTGAGGTACAATGCTCATGGTCACCTTCATGGAAGACTTCACCTGTTGAGTCAAGGCGCCGCGTTGCATTGGTGGGTTTAACCAGAATCAGCCTCATGGCATCAATGCAGGGCTGAAATGACACCATACACTGATCATTTTTGAAATGTCACCAAGAAATGAAACAAAGATCCTGAAATATAACTGAAAACATTTACACTGATCACTTTGGTTTATTTATTTAATTTCCCCCACAAAGTTCAAGAAGTGGTGAAAAGACTCAACTGCAGAAGGAGTTCATACATTCAAACATTATTGATTATGCAGGAAGACAGATATGATGGATGTATGGGTGGATGGACAGATGAAGAGGGATATTTCAATGTGAACATGATTTGAATGTTGCAAGTGGTCAGACTTACTTATACAGTCATGTTAACTAATTACCCCCTTACTGCTTGCATAGCAATTGGAAAGTAAGTCACAGAAAGATGCTTTTAATCAAATCCAGTTAATTAACTCATCAGTAAGTGTGAGCACCTCTATAAAAGCAGATGTTTTGGCAGGTTGTTGGTCTGGAGTATTCAGGTGTGTGTTGACAGAACATTATAATCTACAGTCTTGTGCCAAAGGTCAGACTGTGCAATGCGCAGGCCTCAGTTAGCATGTTAAATGTTACAGCAGAGGTGTCAAACATCGTGCTTGGGGGCTAGAATCAGCCTTGCAATGACTTCAATCTGGTCCACTGGATAGCTTTGGAAAATCAAAAATGTACGTTTTATAAATACAGGACAATCTGGGTAGGGATGTACTAAAAATATTTTTGTAATTTTACAATTTAATCATGTAGGAAAACTGAGATGTACTGTTGAAAATGCACTTCTTTATCTTATATTAAACATGTCAGGGATAAGATGTGTAGTTAAACGTCTTTACACCAACAGAAAGTGAAAGTTTCTCTCATCCGGCCCACTTAAGATCAAAGTGGGCTGTATGTGGGCCTCAGTGTAAAATGAGTTTGACAGTTTCCCTGCGTTAGAGTGCACAATTAGAAAAAACTGAACAAGCGTAGCTTTTTTGAAAGTTTCAGTCTTTTGGACAGACGAGACCAAAGTAGACATGTTTAGCCATAATGTACGGCACCACAATTGGAGACAAACAAATACAGCATACCAACACAAACACCTCACACCAACTGTCAAACATGCTGGTGGAGGGGTGACAAACGGGACAAATTCTGTCTCACAGAAACAGCATCGTTCAGAGGACGGTGATCACAAGCACAGCAGCAAATCTACAAAAAATAAAAGAATCAAGATTTTCCAATGCACCGGTCAATATCCAGACCTCAACCCAACTGAAATGCTGTCAAGGGATCTTAAGAGAACACAGTGAAAACAAATGAAGGCAAACCTCAATGAAGTGACTCAACAATGTAAAGAATTATGGGTTTACAATTCCTCCACAGCGATGTGAGAGACTCATAAATGATTACTTCAAATTATTTCAGCTGAAGGTGGTTCTGCACTACAACCACGGAGAAATAACTAAAGCTGTCAAATTAATGTGGCAAGTTTCACATTGTATACAACTGAGTGGTTGTGAAAAATTACAGCATACTAATAAGGTGTAAATAATCAATCCTGAAGTACCATAGGCTAAAGTAGATGAACTTTCCACAAAGAAATCGATACCGACTGACTCCAGAAATAAGATGTTTCACAACTCTTCTGTCATTTAGGAATCTTTAGCTTTAATGAGGCCATTTGTTCAGCATGAAAGGAAAAAAAGTTCATCAAAAATAAATCTTCAAATTCAGTCTAATAGATTTTTTTTTAAACTTATTGCTTTTTAAAATAGTTATTCAAGGCAATCTGACACTAGATTAAAAAAAAACATGTTCAGTCACAGGTTTGTGTTTTTTCTAAGGATCTGTCACAAGCAGATGTGAACCCCCACTCATGTTTATTTACTGCGCATCAAAATCAGAAAGCCTCAGATAATAATACTGAGCAGACTCACACACTACATTACACTATAGCTATATAACTACAGATATAGATTCGGAGTTACATTAGTATCTTTAAAGGTTTGGTTTTCTCTTTTTTTCCTCCTTTTACAGGGTTGAATTTTAGTTGTAGAAGAAGTTAGACCATTTCAAATTTTTAAGGATATGATTTTGTTGATTAATTGAATAAAATCTAAATTCACAATACAAAAATGTGCATATCCATCCAGCCAACTATCCATCAACAGACTCAATCAAATGGTAGACCCTTAAATAAACCTCTGAATATATAATAAATAGTCACTTATAAACAAAAGGCATCTGCAGCAGCTTACCTTTACCTCCTTTATGACTTCAGCCAGTCATTTCCAGGAGAGCACTTAGTGCACAAGTGCTCCTTACCATCTTCTTCCATACGTTACTTTTTTTCCAGACTTGAAGAAGCAGGTTACAGACGGAAAGTGCTCCTGATTTGCAGAACACAAGTGTTAAGAAGAAAAGGAGCAGTCAGAGTGGGTGTTGGACACGGCTTCCCTCCTCCCGGTACAAACACTCGATAAAGGAGCTTTAGAGACGCTTTCCTTTGAAAGTAATGATTAGAATTCAACACGAAGAAAGGAAAGGGCAGCAGCAGCTGGCCTGGTAAAGGGTTGCCAAGCAAAGACACAGAGTGGGAGGGTGCAGCAACAGGTTAGAGAAAAAAATCTGCAACATCAGACTGGCGTGTTAAGGCGGAACATCACACATATAGCTCAAAGACATTAAATGGGAGTGGGCTGCTGGGTTGACAGGGGAAAACAAAACGGAAATTGTAGCTTTCAATGCAGAGCGGAATATAAAAGGTCAGTTGAAGTTGTCATTGAAGCTCTTTGGTTCAAAGGCCTTTGCACGTTCTCTTATCTCGTCCACCAGAAGAGCCTGCAGAACAAAAGTGCCCATTTTTAAATCTGGTTCTGAATCAATCGAGCTAGCGAGGGCGACGTCTCATCAATGGGGCACGAAAAGATCTAAGAAATGAAACTGCGCAAGCAATTTTATAATAAAAGTATATTTATATACATGTGGAGATGTGTAACGTCCAAATTTACTTGGCAGGAGTGGTGTTGCTTTCTGACCTTGTTCCTCTCCGGTGTTGCTTATAGACATTGATGTTGTATTTGTATGTAGCCTATTATGTTTGTATTTAGAAATAAAAACCTGCAAAGTTTTGATAATTCTCAAGAATTTGTCATTTATAAGCACACACAACATTGCCCAAAAAATGTATTTATTACAGTCTGTGGGAGAGCTATGTGCGAAAATCCCATTCCCCCAATATGAATACGCATTATAGTTTATATAATACTTATATTTAGGTAGCTTCAGCTCTGTTTTATCTGCGCTTACTGTCCATCCACCTGGCATCAGACGAACTCTGGCCTGCTGCCTCAGCAGCTCAGCGTGAATGTTGCTGTGCTGGAGAAAACCTTTGTGACCGCAGGAGCGCTGCTTGCTGTCACAGGCCAAATAAATGGCCGCCACAGTCATCTGAAAGCAACAACTGATACATGGACACAGTTGCATGAAAAGTATTTTCTCCCTTCCCGAGTTCTTATTTTTTCCATATTTGTCAAACTTAAGATTTTAATATTAGACAAAGATAACCTGAATACATTCAAAGTGCAGTCTTTAAATGACGATTTCATTTAAGGGTAAAAAGGTTATCCAAACCTACCTAAGGTAATTTCCCCTAAACTTAAAAACTGGTTGTGCCATCTTCAGCAGCAAGAACTCCAATCAAGTGATTGGCAATGAACCATTCACATCACTGTGGAGGAATTTTGGCCCACTCGTCTTTGCAGAATTGTTTAAATTCAGGCACATTGGACGATTTCCAACCATGAAAATCCTCCATGGTCTTTTAAGGTCTTGCCAAAGCGCTTCCGTCTGATTTAAGTCACCACCACCATGGTGGTTTTATGTTCTTTTTAGAAAATGCTGTGTTAGCTTTATGTCAGATGTAGCGGGACTCTAACCTTCCAAAAAGTTCAACTTTTGTCTCGTCAGACCACACAACATTTTCCCAAAAGTCTCAGGGATGATCCAGATGTTTTCTGGCAAATGTGAGATGAAACTTTGTGTTCTTTTCGGTCAGCAGTGGTTTTCTCCTTGAATTCTCCCGTGGATGTCATGTTTGTCCAGTCTGTTTTTTATTGTTGAATCATGAACTCCGACCTTAACTAAGACTTTGCAATTCTTTCCAGACTGATAGATGACAGTGACTTTGTTTCTCAGGGGTTTCCTTAGATCAGAGGTGGTGAACTCCAGGCCTCAAGGGCTGGTGTCCTGCAGGTTTTAGATCTCACCCTGGGTCACCACACCTGAATCAAATGATTAGTTCATTACCAGGCCTCTGGAGAACTTCAAGACATGTTGAGGAGGTAACTTAGCCATTTAAATCTGCTGTGTTGGATCAAGGACACATCTGAAACCTGCAGGACACCGGCCCTTGAGAGTTTCCCCACCCCTGCATTAGATCTCATGGCATGATGTGTTGATTTTTGACCTTTTTTAGCCTGCTTCACTTTGTCAGACAGGTTCTATTTAAGTTAGTTCTTAATTTAACAGGTCTGACAGAAATCAGGCCAGGATTAAAAACATTTTGTATTTTCTCCGGTTAAGAAGAAATGTGATAAATATGCAAAAAACTAAGAGATTATGAAGGAGATAAATACTTTTTCATGAGATTAAAGGCCTAAAGTGGAGAAAACTTGGACAGTAGAAACTCCTCTGGGAATTAATTAATAATAAATTGAAGCTGTATTGGCACTACCAGAGGCCCCTCTGCACACGCCATTGCTGTTCTGCATTTTAAACGACTTATTTGAAAAGGTTTGTAAATGATGACTAAAAGCAAAACTGCATCAGTTACATACACACATGAGCATGAGGCCACAATATTCGCACCAACACAGCTCTACATGTTTGATGATAACTTGAGGCTTCTGCTTTCAGGGGTCACAACGGACTCTCTCTTCTGTAAAAGAAAGAATAAGTCATTGCTGGCTTCCAGCCAACAGGTCTGGCAGAATAGATAAGGGATGCACCCGCTGTTGACCAAAGTCTGAGGAGGTTTAAAAAAATGACTAAATTCTATATCTCAGTCTTATTAGATAATATTAAAAGTACCAATAAGTTTTTTTGAGCAACTTTCAGCCTGGTAGACAACTGGCTAATGTTCTTTTCCTTCTATTAGCTCACCTGGAGGGGCATAAGGAGCTACTCCAAGTGAGTGTTTAGGCTACATACCAAATGGGTACACATTGAACACTTACTCCCATTTGATTCCCAGCTGGTTGAAACTTTAATGCATGTCACTCCTCTAATGTCTCTCCCTTATCAGACTGTCAGACTGCTAGGTTGGAGCAATCTGACACTGCTCCAACCTAGATTTAAAAAAAAAAAAAAAACTTAACCAACAGCAGTCTGACTCTCAGCAGTTACAATCGAAGCAATGCGATGGACGCCTGAAAATAAAAGCAACAACCAGTTAAACATTACATTTTAACACATTACATGCGGTAAAGCTGAATAGCCAGTGAAGACACCATCCTTGTGTCAACATAACAATGTTTCAACATTTTGCCATTAGATTGGTGCTGTATGTGATGGTGCAATAGCCACTCCTCATTCTGGTCGTGTATCACAGAGCCAAAAAAAGATAGCATGTGGAGTAAGCGGGCGTTATTACAGTTGATCTCTGTAACCACTTCACCATCCTGTAGGTTTTTAGCAAATGCAAAGTCAGGCCGTGTTCTTACACATCTGAACCACAGTGGGGATATTGTGGTAGAAATCTCACTTCCTGTCTATGCACCTTTGATAGTTCAGCTGCTCTAACGCCGGAATTTCCCATCTTTGGGATAAAGTACTTTTCACTGCATTATCTTATCTTGTATTCAGGGGTCTCTTAATCTGTAGACACCTCAATACTAAGGCTGAGATTATACCCACTTGGTGACAGCTGCGGACAGTAAAGATAAGACATTTTTTGATACTCCACCCTCCAAGCCCTGCTTAAAGTCCACCTGAAGGATTCATGGCCAAACAAGCTCATGTGGTCACAAAATGCTGGAGGGAACACGGACATTCCAACCGATTATAAAATTTACAGCAGTGAGACCTCGTCATACCCACATACGTGGAAACTTTGATACACTAGATTCTGAAGAATCTGGTGAGTCACTTTCCAACGCAAAGAAAGAAAAAAAAAATCGAATTCCCAAAGAATGTACTCGTCATTGGCGAGTACAAAACTAGAACTCGACATCTCAGTGAGGTCAAATATCAGCTCTCTGACATTTATATGTATTGCACAACAGCACTTGCCAAAAAGCATTCAACTTCAGCATATGGAACAACGTATGTGCCTCCTAACAGTATGAACTGCATTTACAAAGAATGACAGATATTGATGATTGAGCAGTGAACTTTAATAAGTTATTCTCAAAACATCTGGCTTCCCACCTTGCCAGGAGTGCTAGGGGGAAAAAAGAGAGAGAGAGAGAAAAGCAGTTACATTTATTAGATGCTGAGATGCCTCATTAGAGGCTCTGTGCACAAACATGAGGATCAGTTTTTATTTGATGGGTCATGATGAGTCTCTCCTCGTTAGTGAATGAAAAAATAAGTCAGGTCCTGTGGCACTGGAGAGATTGATAACGGTGAAGCTCTCGTCAGCAGAACTCATTTTTTCCCCCCCAAAGAAATTATTTAATTTTTCAATGGAAGTCCCCAGTGTGTATAGGCAGACAGTTTTCATTAGTGAACACAATTTCACTTTGTGTTGTAGGTGGAAAAGCGCTGGTTGAGGGGGTTTTCTGGTGCTTTTGCCCATTCTTTCTTCAATTGCTGTTTCAGTTGTGACAATCTCATGTTGGGATTCTCCTGTTTTAGACGAGGCATGTTTTCTTGCTCGTAAGCGGCAAATGCCGCTTTCATCCTGCGCTCCGGGTGACGGTCCAGGTCCTCGGGCCCCACGCTGAAACACAGGAAGACACACTGAGTGATTGTTAACATTTGCACAAGTACAACAGGAAGCCTCACGCATAATCAGAGGTTAGGGTTAGGTAGGGTTAGTACATATACGTTGTTACTGTACTTAAGTTGAATTTTCAGGTACCTGTTTTTTCTACTCCTTACATTTTTAAAACAGGCTCATTACTTTTGCTTTAAAGCATTTGAGGAGAGTTATTATTACACATCACTGAAGGCCTCGAAAAATCAAACCGATTTGAACCTAAACACATGAAAGGCAGTCATGTTCGTTTTAGTGCTGTCAGCGTTAATCTGGTTAAAATGACGTTAACGCCATAACCGCATTAATGCAGCAAATCTCTGTTATCGAGTTAGCGCAGATCGCCCCGTGCGTGGGGCTGCACGGCCCTAATACGTTAACGAGCTCGTTAACGTATTAGGGCCGTGCAGCCCCACGCACGGGG